GAGTTTTTTTAATTGAATTCTGTTATTTAATTTCTGACGCTTTTGTACGATACGACTTGTTTTTCTTATCYYATTTTGGCGCTTATGAACGATACGATTTTGGCRCTTTTGTACGATACGACTTTTTTTTTCTTATCTTATTTTGGCGCTTATGTCTTACACCGATTAGAATGTATGCGTAAACTGTATAGGTAGGTAACTTGTCTTAGTAAGTGATTTTTGATCAATTTTTACGTCAATATTAAAATCTAGTTTTACTGCTCAAATAAATAATAATTTATAATAATAATAATATTTATTGGCTAAAATAACAATTTTAATAAGTAATCAATGATAATATTTACAATATGATTAGATGGCCCAACTCACCACTGAGGATAGCCTCTTATCGGTGATGATGGAGTACTATTAAGAGCTAAGTTGGTATATACATGTATACATTTTATAATATTTTAGATATTTCGTAAAAAATTACGTCATATCTGACTATAATTCAAAAACATAAATAGACATACCTGTAGAGCTAATTGTTAACAGCTATAGTAATTAAAGCATAAATTACATTAAATAAATATAATATAAAGAAGTACATCAAAAATGGAATAGATAAATAGACTACATTACATAGGTTGACTGGTATAGGTTAACTGACATACTCTGGTTGACTGGTATATTACATAAGGTGTAGGTCATTACTCATTAGTATTATATGACAACCATAATTTAATAGATTGTTTATATATTTTATAAGACTTACTATTAGTAATTTGCAGCGGAATATTGTTTAATAATTTCAAACCCACTTGTGAAAAACGTTGACTAGATTTCAATATACGAACAGTAGGTATTTCTAAGTGGTTTTTTTGGCGTGAGTTATAATATCTAGGTTTGAACTCTATTAAATTAAATTTGTATGTGTAATATAGGGCATTTCTGTAGAATAATTGTTGCGTCGTAAGAACTTTAAATTCAGTTAATAGATCTTTGGTGGATATGTTTTTCGTTTACTTAAAATTATTTTAACTATGCTTTTTTGAGCTCTGAATATTTTATTACTTCCTATAGGCTATAATAACTAAGCCACTCAGGCGGTTATTCCGTATTGTATGATAGATTGTGTCATGGCAGAGTATAATATTAAACGTAGAGCCTGGTTATTTAGGCATTTTCTTGCGTTAATGAACAGATAGTGCTGTTATAAGTTGTTGGGAGTTTTCAAATAGAGAAATTCCTAAGGAAATTGAGGTGATGAGTTTTCTATTTTTTCTTTTCAAATATTGTTTTTCCTGTAACAACCCCTCCCTCTCGATTACGATTTCAGTTGAATTTCTGAAACCCGTATTAATAATAATAACCGGTAATCAACATAATAAACATTATATCTAATAATAACACAATGTGTTCGTTGCAGATAAGAGTCGAGCGCAGAAAAAAGGCGTCTTGGTGCACTGTCTGGCGGGCATATCTCGTTCAGTAACCGTGATGTTAGCGTACCTGATGGCCCACCGGCAACTGACACTGAACGAAGCATACAACATGGTGCTGAAGCGCAAGGCAAACATCGACCCGAACTTCCACTTTATGCAGCAGCTGCATTCGTTCGAGAAGCAGCTGTTGGACGCCCGGACGCAGCCCAAGCAGCAATCGGCCAACTTGACGGGGTCGTCGACGTCCAACTACCTTAGCCCGCTTTCAACGGCCGTCCAAAGTCCGGACAGCGGCATCGAGTTCGACCGGTGGACGCCCGGCACCGGTGGATGAGAAACGTTTGAGGGCGACGATCAACATCGACGATCGCCCCAAACCAAGTATCGTTTCTGACCGAACGACGCCACTACGTGTATTAATCTACTTTTACTACTATTATACTACCTACTATTATACTACCTACTACTTTATTACTACCACTACTATTACTACTACTTACACTACATTACTACTATTACTACTTTACTACTACTTACACTACACTACTACTACTACTACTACTACTACTACTACTACTACTACTACTACTACTACTACTACTACTACTATGCTGTCGTCAAATCGTTTCCTAAACATTTTTGTTGTTTTTTTTTCACTACACCCAATAGACCTGCCCTTATTTTTTAAATGAAAACTTCAAAAAAATTATTCTGTTTGTAAACGTATTTTAGCTTAACGCGCACAACATATTTCGATTATACACGACTGCCCTCTCCCCATTTTTGTTAAAAGCGCTCATCATACTTATCATTATTTTTTATTTTAAATTTTAAATCGCACATTTCTTTAAATTATTATTTTATCTGTATTGTTAAGGACTAATATTATATAATTTTATTAAGTTATACCATCGATTATTTTTCTCGAGATTTATTGCACATAATGTTCCAAGCCACTGTAAATACGCGTTATTAAAAAAAAAAAATAATAATAATATGGATTATTATCATTGCGTTTCATTGACAAGGTGCTGAAACATTATTATTTTTGTATATTATTCATTCAAGTATTACATTTACCACCTGCAATGTGGAACATGTTGTCTATTTAAAAATAATTGTCATTGTCATTGTTATATATTTTATACTTAATTTATTTATGTTGTACTGTAAATGTTTATATTTCTAGACTGATTTATGGTCCGATGCCATTTAATTTATTCGTTCGGGCGATTTTAAATTAGTTTTATTATTGATGACGATCATGTTAATATTATATGATTGATTGAGTGAAAATCAATTTTTTCTCATTATCTTCGTTAGACTTAGATTTTAAAAATTAAAACATGTGTTTGTATGTCATTAAGTGTTGTAACTATTAATTTATTTTTAAATTCAAACTACAGCATTTATACACTACTTTATTATATTATATTATTATAATGCATTAAACAGATTTTTAAAGTCTATTCCATATTATAAATAATAAATTATAATATTAACATGGGTTACCACTTAATGAAATGATGGCCAATTGTGTAAAATTTTAAGATGTAAGCAAATGATTGTATTTTGTATTAGGCCCTATATTTTGTAATGATAGTGCCATAACCAACCTCAGACAATTGAGGTAAACAATATAAATGTGTGTTTATGTAAACAATTATGATATATAATAATAATAAATATATTTAAAAGTACAATTATTGTTTAGTTATAAATAATGTTATACTCTCTGCCTCTGTTTACAAATAATCTTTGAACAAACATATTTCCACCTATTTACCGAGTAAATGATTCGATCAACCAACAATATAGAAGATTCAAGTTAATAATATAGTCTAAGCCGTCTGGCTGTGTTGAGAAGTTACTTTTTTTTGATAACTAAATTATTTTCAAGTTACCTATTTTAATAAGTTAAGTCATATTACTTTTRACCTATAAAAGTAACTTGATTACAATTAAAGTTTAACTTTTTATTTTAATTTCAAAAATCTCACAGAAGCTTAGTAATTATGTTGTCAATACATTAAATAAGTAATGACTTCAACAATACGGAAAAATGTTTATTTAGGAACCAAAGAAAAATTATCTTAACACGCTATTCTTTATTTTTTAAGTTTATTTTGAATAATGCTTTTTCTAAGCTATTACTTATCAAGATAAGAATTTTTTGCCAAATAGCTGTTGTAAAAATGTTACTGCCACTAACGCCAGTAATATTTGTACTTCAATAATAAAATTTTGTATATTATCAATCGATTCTTTATGATTTGTTGATTAATTACAATAACATGTGTTAAAATTACTTAAATAGTAATGTTGTCATAGTAACTTAGAACTTAAACTAGGTATTTTTCAACACTGGACCAGGCAACATTATCATTACAATCATCATCATAAGTCATAAACTCAATAAAATACTGTTTTCTATTATGAACGGATATCGACATTTTATTGGGTAATTAAAAATAATATTATACTGACTATAGAGGTGTTTGTACATTAAAAGAGAGCTTGACTGCTTTAGAGGATTTGCTTTCCAGGATTTTGATTTGTCTACATTATTTTAAATTATAAAAACATTATATGAAGCAATTCATAATATGTAAAATATTTGTTGTTATTTGATACAATAAAAACAATCAGCAAAAAGACATGTTTAAGTGATTATTGCAGAATACTTGTACCTACATTACAGTGGCGGATTTAAGGGGGGCCCGAAGTGCCTCGCCCCCCCCC